CTTTAGTTAGTATTTGGTTGGTCTGCTTTCTTTGGTGTGATTTTATTTTCTATGGTGACATCTATTTAGCCTTAGGAGTGCTTCCATCTAGAGCAGTCCCTTTAAAATATACTGTAGAGGTGGTTTGTGGGAGGCAAATTCCCTCAACTTTTGCTTCTCTGGTAATTGTTTAATCCCTCCTTCATATTTAAATGATAATCGTGTTGGATACAGTATTCTTGGGTAAAGGCCCTTCTGTTTCACTACATTAAATATATCATGCCATTCTCTTCTGGCCTGTAAGGTTTCTGTTGAGAAGTCTGATGATAGCCTGATGGGTTTTCCTTTGTAGGTGACCTTTTTTCTCTCTCTGTCTGCCTTTAATACTCTGTCCTTATCTTTGATCTTTGCCATTTTAATGATTATATGTCTTGCTGTTATCCTCCTTGGGTCTCCTGTGTTGGGAGATCTGTGGGCTTCCATGGTCTGAAAGACTATTTCCTCCCCCAGTTTGGAGAAGTTTTCAGCAATTATTTCTTCAAAGACACTTTCTATTCCTTTCTCTCTCTCTTCTTCTAGTACCCCTATAATAGGAATATTGTTGTGTTTGGATTGGTCACACAGTTCTCTTAATATTCTTTCATTCCTGGAGATCCTTTTATCTGTCTCTGCCTCAGCTTCTCTGTATTCCTGCTCTCTGATTTATATTCCACTTAATGGCCTCTTGCACCTCATCCACTCTGCTCTTAAGTCCTTCCGGAGATTGTTTTATTTCTGCATTCTCCCTCCCAACTTTATCCTTTAGCTCTTGCATATTTCTCTGTAGGTCCATCAGCATGGTTATGACCTGTATTTTTATTTCTTTTTCAGGAAGATATGTTAAATCTATCTCCCCCAGTCCTCTCTCAGGGGTTGTCTGGGTGATTCTGGACTGGAACAAATTCTTCTGCCTTTTCATGGCAATAGAGGTAATTGTAGGCAGGTGGCATGTGTATCAGCTGAGAGAACAAAGTCCCTTCCTGCTTGCTGGTCACCTTGCCTTTCTCTGCTGCCTGTGCTGATTACCCACACACCGGGAGCAGGCTCCAGGTTAATTTTCTGAGCTGCGGCTGGTGGGGCAGCCCAGAGCTCTGCGGGGAGTGGCAGGCATGCCGGGTGTGCTCTCCTGCGAGAATGGTGCCCCTTCACACCTCTGCTTGAGTAGGGCAGCTGTGCACCAGCGGCGGCCCCAGGTCTGACCTGGGTGGCTGCGCACTGGGAGGAGGCTCTGGGCAGCTGCTGTGGGCGTGGCCACTCCCAGGCTGCTCTGCCGGGGCCACGCAGGAGGGAGGATGAGCAGCAGGCTGCTTATCGCCATGAGGGACTTCAGAGCTGCATTGCCACCCAGGGGGTTAGGGCGCCTGAAGTTCCCCGGGATTCCCAGCTGCTGGCCTGAGTATGCCAGGATGGTTCTGTCCAGCTGTAAGACCCCTGTCCCTTTAAGACTTTCAAAAAGCACTCACTTTTCTTTTGTCCCAGGGGAGCCAGCTTCAGGGACCTGCTCACAGGTTTTACTGTTCCGTTTCCCTAATATCCAGCACACCACGCACTGTGTGTCTGTGCTCCCAGTGTGGATGACTAGGGCTGGGTATTTAGCAGTCCTGGGCTTCCACTCCCTCCCCACTCTGACTCCTCTCCTCCCACCAGTGGGCTGGAATGGGGGGAGTACTTGGGTCCCAGGAGGCTGTGGCTTATATCTTACCCCCTTTGTGAGGTGCTGAGTTCTCGCAGGTGTAGATGTAGCCTGGCTGTTGTACGGTATCCTCTGGTCTCTCTGTTAGGCATAGTTTTATTTGTTGTATTTTCAAAAATATATATGGTTTTGGGAGGAAATTTCCCCTGCCCTACTCATGCCGCCATCTTCCCCCTGGTTCCACAGCTTCTCCAATTTTTCAAATGAAAACAACAATATTTTGCTCATGGGAGTTAAGGGGGAAACATACCCATCTTAAAGTACGACTGGGTAAATGATCATCATATCATCTTATGCTTGAAGGCTTCAGTTTTCTAACTAACAAAACAGTAGAATATAATGTCTTATGAAGCTGGAGTCCACATTTTATCAGGACTCTGCAGGAGCCCTTCCCCGTTACTGCAAAGAAATAGAAAGGTTTCTGGAGGCCCTGGCAGTATGGAGTCAATGTCCAGGGCTGGGGCATTGATCAAATCACTTTATGTTTTGTAGCATGAGGAGAAACAATGACAGACATGCAAAGAAGCAATTGAACCAGAAGGATATCAGTGGACTTGGCCCAAATCCAGACAATGGACTTCTGGTTACACATGTTAACCAGACCCAGGACTTACTGGTAAAAACCATAGTGCTTTCACTAACTCACAGTGCCCACTAAATCAGAGTCAGAGGATACAGAATGTATTAAATTCTGGGTATTTATTTCTTCACAAAGGATCTCAGGACTAAAGAAAAATTAGTGAAGCATTCATCTCTAATCTCCCAACTTCAGAAATGACTGAAGAATATACTGTTTATAGAAATTTTATAGCCTTCTTAGCTATATCATTAAATATTTAGGAACATATGAAGATTTTGTCCATGTTATCAAAGCTTGAAGACTAAGAAATTGAATTCTAAAATTCCCCTTCATGAGATTTATTTTTCTTTTAGGATTCCCTAACATCTAGCTTAAAAAAAAAAAAAGTTTCAGGAAATGCTATCAGAGCAAGAGAATTATTGCAGGAGAATTAGCCTCTAGAATAACCAGAATTGTGGTTGACTGACCCCCAAGGTATTAGCTGTTTTCCCGTTAAGGGTGAGGGGAGTGTCTAGAAATCAGAGTTCATCCTAACACAGAAGCTATTGTCATAAGGGGTTGTCAGGTGCAAACCTGGCCTATAACAACCTACATAATCTACACTAAGGTTTAAAGATGATATCTTTACAATGATTATCAAAAACAACACAGTTTTTATGCTGGTAATTAAACAATCAGGAAAGTAGTCCTGTTTTACTTTTCTCAAGTATTGGCATTTATGGGAAAGCAAGTTTAATTAAAAAGAAGTGAGGAAATGTCAATCATCTTGCGATTCTGAAGGATTCTTTCAATGACTTCAGATGTTGATTATATGAGTCTAATTTCCTATCAAATTCATGACTTCTCAGGTATAAAGGACCACACCTACACTTATCAGCCACAGCTGGGGCCTCCTTTTCTTCATAAATGAATAGCAGTGGGAAAGAGGGAGAGGTTTGCCCCAACACAAAGATCTTAACTATTCTCAATGTAAAACACATACTTTAGAATATATTGAGTATGCCCTGCAGTCAAAATCTATAATGTGCTTAATAGTGACCTTCAAATATTAGTAATGCGAAATCCATGTCCTAAAACGTGATGAATCATTTCAAATGCAAATAAAGTGAAAATAAGTAAGTTGAATTATAAGTCTTCCAAGCTCAGTGTCATCGGCCAAAGACATGGCTGAGTCCTGAAAGATGAAAAGAGTGGCATCTAGTGTTCGTATGAGGTAGCTCAGTGTTTCCCCTAGTGGGAACCAGACTGCGATTTTAGGTGGTTGGGTTCCAGAGCAGTTTCTTTTACTTTGCACAGAATCACCTGGGGAGAACGTTATCTTTGCAGTCAGTTCTCTTGCAATCCTTCATGAAGGTGGTCACAGTTTGGTGCTAATTTAAAGGCAGTATAGTGTGGTTGTGAGCATGACTTGAGCAAAACTGCTTGGGTTTGAATCCCGGCTGTACCATTGAGTAGTCATGTGACTTTTTTAATTTAATTACTTAATCTCTAGGCCTCTGTCTCCTTTTCAGTAAAATGGAGTTAATGGTGGAAACCACTTTGTAGAATTAAATGAGTTCGTATATGGAAAGTACTTGACACATAGAGATGCTATTTAAGTGTTCACTAATTATCCATGTTTTTCACACATCTTCAATACTTGCTAATTTCCCTTTGAAACAGAGGGTGAGCAGGCCTCAGGCACAGAACTTACAGTGCACAATACTATCTACCTAGACTATAATAATAGCAGCATTTTATTTTCACTGTCTTTGTTTCAGTTTGACCACACTTTCTATGTATGACCAAACATAAGGGGAAAATAAGGATCATTGTCAAGAAGTGTTTGTACTATTCTGTGCCAGAGCTTCACAAGGTCCATGTTACAGGGGAAGAAAGAGACATGTGACTTATGTAGCATCACAAAGCTCATGAATGGAGAGCCCAGTGTATGGCATTCCGTTCTTCTCTCCTACTCTTCTCTACACTTTATTCTTTCTGTAGCCTCTGTCCTGTCTAATGGAGCTCAGCCAGCAACAGCAGAGAGTTTTCAACTCCTCGTCCACCACTTCACCCAGTGCAGTGAGAGCCCTGGCCAATAACACCCAAGCAGAACCCACTGAGGGGTCAAGCAGATGCCAGAAACAGGTGAAGCCGACATTGAATCTAGACTGGGGACCCGTTGGCCGACATTGAATCTAGACTGGGGACCCGGTGGGGTAACACACAAACAGCAGTGGTTGTCCTGGAAGCTCTTGCAGAAGCCTGGTCTGACCCAGGCCTTGCACCCCTTTCCAGACTCTTCTCGTGTCACACCACCCTGTATTCACTACACTCCAACCACAGTGACCACCTTTCTGTTCTTTAAGCGCTCTGACCCCTCCCCACTTCAGTCTCTGCCTGGAATGTGTTTTCCCACTGTGCATAGGGCTCAGCTCAAATGGGCCTCCTCTGCCCCCTGCCCAGTGGAGTGATCTCCCATCCCCACCATAGTCATTTTCTAGCACATTTCCCTGCTCCATTTTCTTAATAGAATGTTCCTTTCTGAAATCATGTACATCAATTTCTTCTTCAGTCCATCTACCCCACTAGAAGGTAAGCTCCAAGAAGGCAAGAACATCTCTCTCTTGTTTGCACAGGAACAACACCTCATTCATAGTAGGGCTCAGAAACTCCTATTGCAAAAAGGAAGAAGTACTGGCCTCCAGGAGAGGCGAGCAAGGCAAAGTGGGCTCAAACCCTATGTCAGCTCTCTCTACCTTCTGCTCCCAAAAAGCATGGCCACTGCTGAACGCTGCCACGAATGACTTCCGCTCCACCACCAAGGCCTCCACCCACATCCTGAGCTTAGCACTGGGAAGGGGATAGAGGAGTCACTAGGTACAAGCAAGGGGGCGCAATCCATCTTGTGGCCAGACTCCTGTGATGGACAGGAAATTCTTTGAAGTATCCATTCCTCCTGATTCTGGCCTCTGGAATGGGTAGGATAAGCCTATTCCCTCCTCCATCAGTCCCTGCAAATGTTTGTGGAGGACCCCTCAGACTGATAGGGAGGCAACTCATACACCCACAAAAACACAGAGAGTACAAATGTGAAAATAAAACAGCAAATGGGCAGCGGCAATTTATTCAGAACTTGCTATAGCAAGGGGGTCAGCCACCTTTGTTTAGCAGAGACTCAAAGGCAGGTAGGGGAGTAGGAAACCTTTATAGTGGGGAAAAAAGAAAAGGAGGAGGGAAGCTTCAGGGAGGTGCTGAAGGCAGTTGTTGGCCTGGGGAAGCTGGAGGTGGGCCAACTAGAAGCCAGGCGTCTCATGTAATTGGTTTGCGGTTTAACTGGCTTCCTCGGGTTGGTCGTGAGCTGAAGATAGGATTGAAAGTTAGGAAAGCTCGTAGTCCTTGCAGAGTCCTGATCCTTCTGGGCCAGTTGCTGTACAGCTGTGGTTTGGCTTCATGCACTGGTTGCTGTAGGTTGTGGGCCAGAGTCCCATGGTCATATACAGTCAGGCCATTGTATGTGTGTATACTCAGTCTCTCACAAGGCAGGATGTGGTGAGTGACCCTTGAACTGTCTAGCCACATTAGGGGATGAGGTGAGGAATGAGGATGGTATTTCCAGGGCAACAGGCCCAGAGCACAGGCCTCAGCAGTCATCTGTTTCCTCAGCAAGGCAAGTTCTTAAACAAACTGCTTTCAGGTGGGACCACTCAGAGCTGGCAACCCGTGGGTGTCCATGTGGAGGGAACTGTGGGTGTCCTCAGGCTTGCACTCTCTTTCCGCAGTTTACTGTTTGACTCTGAAACCAATGGGTTTCAGCCCCAGGCAAGTTCACTATAAATTCAATGAGACCAGAGAAATGACAGTGGATCCTTCTTGGGGTGAAAGGGTTTATACCCAACTTTATTTCCACTGTGGCAGGTCAATCACTAGAGTCCTGTCTACTCTGAGCAAGTCTGCATGCAGCAAGCCAGTCTCTGCCTCTGGTCCTCTCTACCCCGCAGCCACTGCTCTCTCTGCTCTCCTGCAGCCTTGCAGCCGTGCCACCGTGTCACCCAGAGCGCTGAGCGGAGCTCTTTACATTGAGTCAGTAACAACATATTGCCCACACGTGTGTGTGAGCTAGCCAACCAGGGCCAGGTGAGAATCCTGGCCCTAGGAACCTTCACTTTATCTGCACTCTGGTTTCTATCTCACAGAGGCTGCAAGGAGATGAGACCCAGCCTTCAGCTTGGGAAGACTTGGAAGATTGGCTTTCAACGCACAGTTTGAAGTTTGAGAGGCTCACCTTGGCTGACCTGATAAGCCAGGGCACAGCCCTCCTGTAAGTCTGAAGCCATTTCCCTCACCCCAAGCCTGCGTGATGCACCCAGTCCCCAGGCCTGTAGACCCCTTCACAGACTTTGCTTCTTCAGGGAGGAGGGCAGCAATGTCAAGAGGAAAATGCACTTTTCCACCCAGATCGTCCACCAATTTGAATCAAGGCTTTCTGAGTAAGTATGTTTCTCCATGTCCTTTCAACACCTGCAGAGCTCAAGCTTTACTGCGTTTCAGCAGTCTGAAAGTAACTTTGTTCAAACAACAATTTCTGGGGGACCTTGTGGGGTCTCTTCCTACTTCTAGCCCCCATTTCCTTTTCTCAGATAAAGAGGTTGGACCATCTCAGTTTTTTCTCAGCCTTTTAAAACCTGTGGTCCCTTTGGATGAACACATAAAACCTCACAGCTTCACTTGCCGTGAACCGTTAAGAGTGACCACTTCAGTAACAAAGTGGTTGGGTTCAGACATTTGCAAATGTATGTCAAAAGTATGCTGGCTCCCATTCCCAAGACAGTTTTGAGAGCGCATATATATTCCATCCCCACTATAGCAACACATGACCCATGGCTGCTGTTTGCCTGAGGCTTCCTAAATGGTTATAACCAACATTTATTAATGTGTCAGGAATTCTAAGGATTGCATGCATTTTCTTATTTAATCCTCACAAGAACTCAAAATACAGTTACCCACAAGCCAGTTAACCAAAAGTTCATGGCTAACTGACCAATTTGCCAGATTTATCAAAACGTGTTAACTGTAACTTTTATAGCAATTTTTATGGGGTTGGAAGGTTTAAACAGGAAGAAGTCTGCAATATTTTGATTGATTGGTTTTAATTATGAAGCCAGCATTTTAAGGAATGTTCAAATCTATTCAATTAATTGGCCATTTGGCAAATGGGTTTTCAGGGAATTGGCTTTCGGTGCATTGACTTGGCAAATTGACCTGGATAGAGTCCTATTACTATCTTCATGTTAGAGATGATGACACTGGACTCAGAGAGATTACCACACCTGTCCAAGGTCACACAGCTAGTCAATAGCAGAGCTGGATGTCAAGGACAAGCATGTCTCATTTTGAAACTCACATTCTTAGTTCTTTCCATGGCTTAAAACTCTACCCACCACCCACTGCCCCACGATTTCATATTCAAAGGCCTTCCTTTCCCTTCTCTAAGCTCCCAGATCCGACCTGCTCCCAATGAAGGTAATTCAGTTAAATTCAAGGGATGAGTACTTATCTTTAACATCTGTTACATGCTTGTGTCCAACCAGCCATTGGAATGGTTTGCAATAAGGGGACTTCAAAAAAGATGTTCCCCTGACTACCTTTTGGAAACTAAGTTTTTTTGTTAATTGGTCCACTGAGAACCTGCTGCTGAACTGCCTCAATTGTGCATTTATGACATCTCCAGGACACTAGGAAAACTCATTTGAGAAGAGCAAGAGTGTTCCTCTACCTCCCTCATGAGAACACTTCATCACAGACCTCACCCCTTGTTCCACCGAACGTCAGTCTACACTGCACGTTGCATCACCAAAAGGTGGCATCCACACACTTGATCTCTTTCATGATGCTCTGTGTTCTGTACTCCTGAAAAAACCAATACCTTCTGTTTTCTCATTGCTATATTTTGCCTTATATTGTCCTAAGGTCTTAGAATCGTTATCAAAAAGATTCCACCTGCACCTTCCTTCCTTGTGTGCATGGCTATAGCTCAGTGATGAAGCTGACCTTGGGTGACAAGTCTTTCTGGTGTTTTGACAGAGTTATTGAACTCTACCAACAGAGACTCCAGTGGCTCACAGAAGACAGCAAGAAGGTAAGCGAAAAGGATTTCATTCTTTGCCCGTTCCACTCATTCCATCTGTATTTGTTAGAATCCTTTCAGCTGCAAATGGTAGACCTCCACCTTCAACTGGCTTCAACTAAAAATGGAATTTCTTGACCTACCCAAATGAAAAACCCAGACACAGCTGTATCCAGGGGCTCCAGTGGTATCATCTCTTTGTCTCAGTGCTCTCCTTTCTTCTGGGCTAATTTTATTCTTGGGAATTCTTTCCCCAGTCTTGGGAAGGTGGTCACAAGAAGCTCTAAGCTTACAGGTCACCAGATGAAGTGACATATAGAAAGGGACCTCCCCTACCTTTCCCAGTACACCCTCCCAAATCCTGGGATTGACTCTCATTGGACCAGTTTAGACCAGTCACCACAGGGATATGATATACCACCTGACTAGGCCTGGAACTAGAGAACGGGGGAAGTGGGGAGATGGGGTAACCCCCACCAAACCTCATGGATTGAGAAAGAGAGGCATATGGTTGCACTTGGAAAGCCAGAGGGCTGTTTCAGAAAAGGAAACAGATCCTGGGCAGGTAAGAATGGCAGGTGTCCCCTTGACCATTTACCCTCAGACTCATAGTGAGATTTATAAGACTGAGGCTGATCATCTGGACATAGCTTTTCTTGAAAGTCTTAGTAAATATTTTCCTCAAACTTGAAGGGTAGAAGAGTGATTGTGAGAAAATTCACCTTTCCTTTGCTTTCTTATTTGTTTTAGCCTATTTTCTCCCAACTGATACTTTTCTGGCTCACCATTTGTTTCACCTAAGGCAATCCTCAACGCTTGTTTTAAACCCTAGGACAGACAGATGCTGAAATTCATGCTCCCCTCTCCCAACCCCCATCTCTACACAGGACCAGGAGGTAATAGAATGGTGCTCAGGCCACCCTTCCGGCCAATTCCAGGGTACAGCCTATATCTCAGATCCAAAACCACCCTTGCTGGCTTAGACTGGTCAGCAGATGCTTGTCGCAGTGGTGGCACACCCCCTCTGGCTGCACACTGTAACCCAAGCAGAAGGAACCCAGAGGGATGAAATCCTCACGTTCTCCAAAAGCATCCACCTAGGGGCTATTGTTCTCATCTACTCACCCCCATCACACCTGTCCTGGCACTTTTAACAAAGGGGACAGCAACAGCTAGGCCCTTCTCCCCCAGACCCTTTCTGATGGAGCTGCAGAGGAGCCATGAAACAGGCTCAGACTGGACTCCATGGAAGCAAACACACGAGTCCTCCAGGTGCTGAGCAGCCTAGGGTGATAGATAGCCATCACTGCACCCAATTCCCAGCCCTGCTGTTGCAAGTCCATAGGCAAGTGGCCTCTCTCCTCTGCGTGTCTGTTTCCATATCTACAGAGGATAAAAGCAGGGCTTATAAACTAGTGAGACGAGTGTAAATCTGGCTCACAGCCATGTTTTTATTGGCCACTTAAATTCAAATAATATTTTTGATATAGCTTCAAATAATTCAGAATCTTTTTTGAATTAGTTGCAAGATTTAAAATCCTGATATTTCATATTTATGTCTATTTCTGTTCTTCTCTTGAAAAATGGGACTATCTGGCATCACTGGGCTCCAGTTCCTTCTTATGTATTTATCCAGTTATTTCCACTGGTTAAATGTCTAGAATTTCAGTGGCTAGGTGTAAGGGAATGCATATTTTCAATTATAAAAGCTGTAAAGACTGTTTCCTTAAATTTTAAAAGGATTAGAAATTTGGTCCCCAAATTTTAACTCCTGGTCCCTGAGGACTGGCAATGTCCTAGGAAGCCTCATATTTTGCGTCATGAATGTAACAAATGTTGACTGGATGACTATTACATATCAGACACTGTTCCAGGATCGGGGGCATAAAGATGACCAATACAAAGCCCCACCTTCATGGGGCTTGTAGTCCAGCCTCATCCACTAGACAGACCATGAATTACATACATATACAAGGTCAGTTGTATGAATTAAAAATCATATACAAGATCAGTTAGTTATCACACTATAAGGAAAAATAAAATAGAGTAGGGGAATGGAGAGTGGGATATCAAAAGGGGGGCTATTTAAGCAGAATGGGCAAAGAGACATTTGGACAGACGCCTGAAGGAAGTTGGAGAGGAAGCCACAGAGGGATCTAAGGGTGGATAGTCCAGACAGAGGAGACAGAAAATGCAAAGGCCCTGAGGCAGGAACAAGTCTGGTGTGTTCCAGAAGCAGCAAGCAGACCAGTATAGCAAGCACAGAGTGAGCCGTGTGGAAAGCAGAGAAGATGATGTTAGAGGCAGATCAGGGAGGCCTTGCAGAGTTCAGATTTTATGCCACAGGTGAGGGTTTTAATCAGGGGAGTGACATGGTCTGACTTGTTTCAAAAAGATCACTCTGTCTGCTTCATAAATTGACTATAAGACTAGGTAAGAATGACGGTAGGTTAGACTCATGCTTGGATGGATGGGATGAGAAATGGTGGATTCAGGGCATGGTTTGAAGATAGAACCAGAAGGTCTTGCTGGTGGATTGGATAGGTTTGGGGCTGGAATACCTGGGTAAATGTTAAATGCCATTTACTGAGGTGGGGAAGACTGAGTGAAGAACAGGTTTAAAGAGGAAAATCAGGGGGTCTTGTTTTGGACATATGAAGTCAGAGGGACTTACTAGATGTCCAGACAGATGTGGAGCAGGTCGTTGAATGCACATCTGGAGCTGCAGGACAGCTCTGCCTGCAGATGGACCTTGGATTATTATCAGCATGCAGATATATTAAGCCCTGAGCCTCAGTGCCTGGCAGTGAGACCAAGTGCCTGGCAGCGGTTCTCAACCAGAGCCATTTAAACCCCAGGGACATTTGGCATTGTCTGGACACATTTTCAGTTGTTATGACTAGGAAGAGGGGTTGCCAAGGAAGCTGCTAAACATCTTACTGTGCACTGGCACTCACCACAATAGAGAACCATCAGCTCAAAATGTCAATAGTACAGACTGAGAGTGACGAACCCTGGCGTAGATACAGAAGACAGAGGAAGACGGAACCCCAGTCCAGTGGTTGTCAAACCATAACATACAGCCAAATCCCCTAGGGGTGGTGGTGGAGGAATCTAGTGAAAATGCAGACTCTGATTAGGCAAATCTGGGATGGAGCCTGAGATTCTGCACCTAACAAGCTCCCAGGCACTGACACTGCTTGGTCCATGGCCAACATCTTCAGGAACAAGTTCCCAGGGCATTCCAGTAGTTACATTGTCAGACAGCTACATCTGGGGAGGTCTCTCCCTGCGCACCAGGGGAAACTTCAACCTGGAAAGGAGAGGGTTATTGACTCTGATCAAGAAAGAATTCTCGAGCAGGTCAGAGGAGTGTAGGTAGGGAAGGAATTCATTAAAGTGAGAGTAACAGGGAATGGTAGCTGCCTTGCAGGCAGCAGAGAGCAAGGAAGCTGAAGTAGGACAGAGAGAGTGAAGACTTGTGCTAAAGTCTAGGAAATAGAATGAAATGGCAAAGTAGCAGAGATGCTTACCACTGGAAGAGCACAGAGACAAAATGCAGTAAGTTGAGCAGTGAGAATTTTTTAAGGCAAAAAGTACACACTTGAAAAAAGAGGAATGCAGGCAACCTCAGAGAGGAGTACCCTTAAGGGCTTAGGATTCTGTCTTTTAAGGCTTTCAAGAATGGGGCAAGGGTAGGGTGGGGGTTGTTGGGCATAGGCTTGACTTGTGGTCTCATTATGTCTCTCTCTGGTGAGAGATATTATTACTATCTACAGTCAGTTCTTCTAGATAATTTTGTAAGAAAAAATTAACACAAGGAATTTATTGATCCAGTTCCTCTCCAAGATAGTGGTTTCCCTCAAGCACTGGGAACATATTAAGACTGCATGCCTTGCCTTAAGATAGGGTGGGTTATTGTCTAATTGCCAAAGAATATGTTAGGAATCTTACCTCCTAACTCCCTGCTTTTGGAATGGAATCTTGGCCTTAAGATGGAGTCCCTCCTGTTCTTACTATGCCATTTATATCTCAGCATTTTTAGGAAAATTAATCATGATGCTTGTCCCTGTTTCTGCCCTGTCTCAGTTAGACTTCAAGAGGAGGAGGGTGGTGAGAAGGACTGGCCAGTGAGAGCAAGGAAAAGCAGGCAAACATGGTGTTCTGAAATATAGCATATTTATTAAGTGCATAAACTTGTCAAATTCTTGACACAGCCAAACAGTGTAATATTTACTCAGAGATCAAAAAAGTTGAGAATTTAGATTTGACCATTGAATTTGCCAAGAGCGAGGTCACTGATCGATCACCTTGACAAGTGTGGTGTCAGGGGAGTAGGGAGGTGAGAGCCTAATTTGAGGGGGTCACAGAGAATTGGAAGGTAAGGAAGCATTGCTCATGTGGAAAGTTGAGAAATGAAGTGGTAGCAGAAGGGAGAGGTGGGTATCTGACGGGTTTCTCTCCTTTTTAAGATGGGCAGTAATAAAGCCTATTTATACAGTGATGGAAATCACAAAAACAGGGCGGAATTGGTGATCCAGAAGAAGTGACAGTTATAGTAGCAAAGGCCCTATTTGGCAAGAGAAGAGCCAGTAATATAGCCAAAGGACTGGCCTTAGAGCTTCCTTGGATAGTTGGGGTTAGACACATTGTGATGGGAAATGGGCGGTCAGTAGATTCTGGGTGGAAAGATCAAAACTCTGGTTTGTTTCTGTTTTCTTAGTGTAGTTGGACTCAAAGTCACTTGCTGAGAGAACGTAGAAAGGGAATGTTAGAAGTGGGCAAGAGGTAAAATACTCATCTCAGAGCAGAAAAGTGAACTGAACAGGGAAATTAGGTGTCCAGTAGTCAGATTTAAGGCAGAAAGCATCAAATGGAACCTACTGCCTCTGGAGAACTACCAGTTCCTTATCAATAAAAGTCCCAACGCACAATGCTGCTGTAATAGGACTAGCAGCCATGTGCAGAGCCACATAGTATTGGCACATAGGATGCAGCACCTGTTGGAAATATAATTAGAAATTCGCAGAAATACCATGGCAGCCGGTGAGCTCGACACATCTGCCTTCAGTTCATATAGTAGGCAGAAAATAGATAAGGATACAGAGAAATGAAATAAGCTGGTATAATTAGAGATCAACCTTTTTATCTTATAAAGGATGATTTTCTACAATCTTCAAAATTTTTTAATGAATGTGCATTACTTTATAAGAGAGGGCAGTAAATATTAAGAAAAAAACTTGTAAAGAATAGGCTACCACAAGATAGGAGCAGATGATGCTAAAGTCAGGACATCAGGTTTGGCTTTTTTCTCTATAAAATGGGCCTTCCTTCTGTCACTTCTTGTGGAGGTTAGGGTGGAGTGGGGGATAATGGTGGGGGTCAGGGGGGCAGTGGTGGTGCTCCAACTCCTGGGAGCTGCTCTGTGAAAGGCTTAAGAGAAGTACAGAGCTGTACTGATTATTTTCAAATGCCCTCTTTGGTTTTAGGCATTTGGCCTCATCAGAGGGACCAGAGTTGGTATCCTTATTGATGTGTCAGCGGTCAGCAGTGGCCCTCAGAAAGAGGAGTTCCAAAATGACCTCATGGTAAGCCTCTGGCACAGAGAAGTACCTGGAGCCACCCTCCCCTTTGTTAGCTTGCTAACCAGCTTTGTTTATAGCAAATGCAAAATGGGGTGTTTTACAAAGAGCAGTTCACACTTAATTAGCACCTACAGTTTAAGAAATAGGTTGTGTTCTGTAAAACCCAAACATGGAGTCATTTTCCATTGTGGTGTGAGCTTCTAGTATTCTCACCACAGCAGTCCCTACTACCTAGACTTTTCCACAAGAGCTCAGTTCCCTGGGAAGAGGACACAAAGGTGGTAATCAGTTGCACTGACTCCAGCATAGCATAGCACAGGCTTCCTGGACTTTTCTGGACAGGANGCCGACATTGAATCTAGACTGGGGACCCGGTGGGGTAACACACAAACAGCAGTGGTTGTCCTGGAAGCTCTTGCAGAAGCCTGGTCTGACCCAGGCCTTGCACCCCTTTCCAGACTCTTCTCGTGTCACACCACCCTGTATTCACTACACTCCAACCACAGTGACCACCTTTCTGTTCTTTAAGCGCTCTGACCCCTCCCCACTTCAGTCTCTGCCTGGAATGTGTTTTCCCACTGTGCATAGGGCTCAGCTCAAATGGGCCTCCTCTGCCCCCTGCCCAGTGGAGTGATCTCCCATCCCCACCATAGTCATTTTCTAGCACATTTCCCTGCTCCATTTTCTTAATAGAATGTTCCTTTCTGAAATCATGTACATCAATTTCTTCTTCAGTCCATCTACCCCACTAGAAGGTAAGCTCCAAGAAGGCAAGAACATCTCTCTCTTGTTTGCACAGGAACAACACCTCATTCATAGTAGGGCTCAGAAACTCCTATTGCAAAAAGGAAGAAGTACTGGCCTCCAGGAGAGGCGAGCAAGGCAAAGTGGGCTCAAACCCTATGTCAGCTCTCTCTACCTTCTGCTCCCAAAAAGCATGGCCACTGCTGAACGCTGCCACGAATGACTTCCGCTCCACCACCAAGGCCTCCACCCACATCCTGAGCTTAGCACTGGGAAGGGGATAGAGGAGTCACTAGGTACAAGCAAGGGGGCGCAATCCATCTTGTGGCCAGACTCCTGTGATGGACAGGAAATTCTTTGAAGTATCCATTCCTCCTGATTCTGGCCTCTGGAATGGGTAGGATAAGCCTATTCCCTCCTCCATCAGTCCCTGCAAATGTTTGTGGAGGACCCCTCAGACTGATAGGGAGGCAACTCATACACCCACAAAAACACAGAGAGTACAAATGTGAAAATAAAACAGCAAATGGGCAGCGGCAATTTATTCAGAACTTGCTATAGCAAGGGGGTCAGCCACCTTTGTTTAGCAGAGACTCAAAGGCAGGTAGGGGAGTAGGAAACCTTTATAGTGGGGAAAAAAGAAAAGGAGGAGGGAAGCTTCAGGGAGGTGCTGAAGGCAGTTGTTGGCCTGGGGAAGCTGGAGGTGGGCCAACTAGAAGCCAGGCGTCTCATGTAATTGGTTTGCGGTTTAACTGGCTTCCTCGGGTTGGTCGTGAGCTGAAGATAGGATTGAAAGTTAGGAAAGCTCGTAGTCCTTGCAGAGTCCTGATCCTTCTGGGCCAGTTGCTGTACAGCTGTGGTTTGGCTTCATGCACTGGTTGCTGTAGGTTGTGGGCCAGAGTCCCATGGTCATATACAGTCAGGCCATTGTATGTGTGTATACTCAGTCTCTCACAAGGCAGGATGTGGTGAGTGACCCTTGAACTGTCTAGCCACATTAGGGGATGAGGTGAGGAATGAGGATGGTATTTCCAGGGCAACAGGCCCAGAGCACAGGCCTCAGCAGTCATCTGTTTCCTCAGCAAGGCAAGTTCTTAAACAAACTGCTTTCAGGTGGGACCACTCAGAGCTGGCAACCCGTGGGTGTCCATGTGGAGGGAACTGTGGGTGTCCTCAGGCTTGCACTCTCTTTCCGCAGTTTACTGTTTGACTCTGAAACCAATGGGTTTCAGCCCCAGGCAAGTTCACTATAAATTCAATGAGACCAGAGAAATGACAGTGGATCCTTCTTGGGGTGAAAGGGTTTATACCCAACTTTATTTCCACTGTGGCAGGTCAATCACTAGAGTCCTGTCTACTCTGAGCAAGTCTGCATGCAGCAAGCCAGTCTCTGCCTCTGGTCCTCTCTACCCCGCAGCCACTGCTCTCTCTGCTCTCCTGCAGCCTTGCAGCCGTGCCACCGTGTCACCCAGAGCGCTGAGCGGAGCTCTTTACATTGAGTCAGTAACAACATATTGCCCACACGTGTGTGTGAGCTAGCCAACCAGGGCCAGGTGAGAATCCTGGCCCTAGGAACCTTCACTTTATCTGCACTCTGGTTTCTATCTCACAGAGGCTGCAAGGAGATGAGACCCAGCCTTCAGCTTGGGAAGACTTGGAAGATTGGCTTTCAACGCACAGTTTGAAGTTTGAGAGGCTCACCTTGGCTGACCTGATAAGCCAGGGCACAGCCCTCCTGTAAGTCTGAAGCCATTTCCCTCACCCCAAGCCTGCGTGATGCACCCAGTCCCCAGGCCTGTAGACCCCTTCACAGACTTTGCTTCTTCAGGGAGGAGGGCAGCAATGTCAAGAGGAAAATGCACTTTTCCACCCAGATCGTCCACCAATTTGAATCAAGGCTTTCTGAGTAAGTATGTTTCTCCATGTCCTTTCAACACCTGCAGAGCTCAAGCTTTACTGCGTTTCAGCAGTCTGAAAGTAACTTTGTTCAAACAACAATTTCTGGGGGACCTTGTGGGGTCTCTTCCTACTTCTAGCCCCCATTTCCTTTTCTCAGATAAAGAGGTTGGACCATCTCAGTTTTTTCTCAGCCTTTTAAAACCTGTGGTCCCTTTGGATGAACACATAAAACCTCACAGCTTCACTTGCCGTGAACCGTTAAGAGTGACCACTTCAGTAACAAAGTGGTTGGGTTCAGACATTTGCAAATGTATGTCAAAAGTATGCTGGCTCCCATTCCCAAGACAGTTTTGAGAGCGCATATATATTCCATCCCCACTATAGCAACACATGACCCATGGCTGCTGTTTGCCTGAGGCTTCCTAAATGGTTATAACCAACATTTATTAATGTGTCAGGAATTCTAAGGATTGCATGCATTTTCTTATTTAATCCTCACAAGAACTCAAAATACAGTTACCCACAAGCCAGTTAACCAAAAGTTCATGGCTAACTGACCAATTTGCCAGATTTATCAAAACGTGTTAACTGTAACTTTTATAGCAATTTTTATGGGGTTGGAAGGTTTAAACAGGAAGAAGTCTGCAATATTTTGATTGATTGGTTTTAATTATGAAGCCAGCATTTTAAGGAATGTTCAAATCTATTCAATTAATTGGCCATTTGGCAAATGGGTTTTCAGGGAATTGGCTTTCGGTGCATTGACTTGGCAAATTGACCTGGATAGAGTCCTATTACTATCTTCATGTTAGAGATGATGACACTGGACTCAGAGAGATTACCACACCTGTCCAAGGTCACACAGCTAGTCAATAGCAGAGCTGGATGTCAAGGACAAGCATGTCTCATTTTGAAACTCACATTCTTAGTTCTTTCCATGGCTTAAAACTCTACCCACCACCCACTGCCCCACGATTTCATATTCAAAGGCCTTCCTTTCCCTTCTCTAAGCTCCCAGATCCGACCTGCTCCCAATGAAGGTAATTCAGTTAAATTCAAGGGATGAGTACTTATCTTTAACATCTGTTACATGCTTGTGTCCAACCAGCCATTGGAATGGTTTGCAATAAGGGGACTTCAAAAAAGATGTTCCCCTGACTACCTTTTGGAAACTAAGTTTTTTTGTTAATTGGTCCACTGAGAACCTGCTGCTGAACTGCCTCAATTGTGCATTTATGACATCTCCAGGACACTAGGAAAACTCATTTGAGAAGAGCAAGAGTGTTCCTCTACCTCCCTCATGAGAACACTTCATCACAGACCTCACCCCTTGTTCCACCGAACGTCAGTCTACACTGCACGTTGCATCACCAAAAGGTGGCATCCACACACTTGATCTCTTTCATGATGCTCTGTGTTCTGTACTCCTGAAAAAACCAATACCTTCTGTTTTCTCATTGCTATATTTTGCCTTATATTGTCCTAAGGTCTTAGAATCGTTATCAAAAAGATTCCACCTGCACCTTCCTTCCTTGTGTGCATGGCTATAGCTCAGTGATGAAGCTGACCTTGGGTGACAAGTCTTTCTGGTGTTTTGACAGAGTTATTGAACTCTACCAACAGAGACTCCAGTGGCTCACAGAAGACAGCAAGAAGGTAAGCGAAAAGGATTTCATTCTTTGCCCGTTCCACTCATTCCATCTGTATTTGTTAGAATCCTTTCAGCTGCAAATGGTAGACCTCCACCTTCAACTGGCTTCAACTAAAAATGGAATTTCTTGACCTACCCAAATGAAAAACCCAGACACAGCTGTATCCAGGGGCTCCAGTGGTATCATCTCTTTGTCTCAGTGCTCTCCTTTCTTCTGGGCTAATTTTATTCTTGGGAATTCTTTCCCCAGTCTTGGGAAGGTGGTCACAAGAAGCTCTAAGCTTACAGGTCACCAGATGAAGTGACATATAGAAAGGGACCTCCCCTACCTTTCCCAGTACACCCTCCCAAATCCTGGGATTGACTCTCATTGGACCAGTTTAGACCAGTCACCACAGGGATATGATATACCACCTGACTAGGCCTGGAACTAGAGAACGGGGGAAGTGGGGAGATGGGGTAACCCCCACCAAACCTCATGGATTGAGAAAGAGAGGCATATGGTTGCACTTGGAAAGCCAGAGGGCTGTTTCAGAAAAGGAAACAGATCCTGGGCAGGTAAGAATGGCAGGTGTCCCCTTGACCATTTACCCTCAGACTCATAGTGAGATTTATAAGACTGAGGCTGATCATCTGGACATAGCTTTTCTTGAAAGTCTTAGTAAATATTTTCCTCAAACTTGAAGGGTAGAAGAGTGATTGTGAGAAA